TTACAAAACAGAAACCAGCATTGATGAGCTAAATAGTTTTACCTATTCACCTTTAGCCCATCGCAAATTACTGCAGGGAATTTAAATAATTTGGGATTTGAGAAAATACATCGACTTCCAGCCTAATTGGACAACTTAGATGCCAATGTGATTTCAAAAAATGTAGATATTTTACATAATCTTACCCTTAGTTTGTCTTCTAATCTCATTATAAAATAAATTGTATATGCCCCCGACAAATTATGATGAACGGTACTACATTGTAGCCTTAATTAATTCTAACTGACAAATAGAAACGTATAAAAAAAGTCACTGCTCTGAATCCAATTTATCTTCCTTTTAATTCGGCTTTCATCTCATTTTTAGCTTACTTCAGTAAATATAACGTTTTCAAATCTTATATGATCTAATAGTATTTATCCCTTAGTCTTCATATGCTAATATCAATTTCTAAATGCTTCCGTCATTTTCTAATGCAACAGCTGAGAGATTAGCTCTACATATTCGAAACTAAATTAGAAAACTTTTATTTTATCTATAGCAATCGAATAACTATTTAAACATTTTGATCAGTAGTGGATTTTATAACTTCACGATTAAAGTTTCGTTTTTTCCCCTCCTCAACTCGATGACCGTTTGACATTTTTTCATTGTCTTGGAAAGAACGAAGACGGTACTGCTGTCTGTCCTGATGAGTGCCTCGATCCTAAAGAATAATACGATCAAGTGTGTACAATTTCGAATCGGATAGGGTCTTTTATATGATATGGAATTAATTGAGATAAGAAAGGCCGTTGACTATGTTATGGCGCTGCCTCCTTTGCCACAGCCTCTCTTTTCGAAGGGAGATTGAAATTTCTAAAATATGATAGCTGGCTCTCGAATTGTTGTGGTATTGCGCGAAACGAGCTTTGTTGGAAACCTTAATAGCAAAAGCGCCTATACACATCAGGTGAGCGAGATTAGTTAATGCGATAGATGACAACTTGGCTAACTAAGACAAATTTGAAGCAAATCAGATAATTTGATTGGATGGTAACTTTCAATCAATCTGAAGTACCTTTCATTTAGGCGAGTTAAAGGGGATTCGTAAGTTGGCCTCATTGGAAGCTGCATAGGGATTGCCTTAGAATTGTAATTGTGGATTTGTGTGAATAGGTCCTTGGTGTGCCTCACTTTGACCCCGATGAATCCTCGCTGTGTTCGCCTCTTCAAACGAAATGAAGGGTATTCCAACATGAATTTGTTAAGGGCTTCTCCAGAAACCAGTTTCTCTACATAACTTCCACTCTTGTATAATTCACATTCAGTTTTCCTACTAAAGATGCTTATGTCAAGAAAAGCTGGGTTTCGAAGACTCCATTGGCAGATTGTTGTTAGCATAACTTTCATTTTATTTAAAGAGATGAGTTGAAGGGATTCTTAATTTGGTGTCATCTGAAGCCGACGGAGGACTTGGGATTGTGACCAGCTTTATGCGAATTAATCCTCTGCGTATTGACTCGTTTTATGTTTATTTGTTCGACACCTGCTGGTTTACAAGTTTTGTATTGTTTTTAACTAAATTCTTCCGCTATTTTTACGTTTAATCATTGGTTTCCAAATCTCTATTTATTTCCATAATTTTCTTCATTTTTTACTTGATTTTTTCTTGTTATTTTTTTCGTGAATTGCGGATGATGTGCTAGAATAAGTGGATTATTACAAATGTTGACTTTCTGCCGATTACTTTTATTCCTAATTTACTTCGACTTACAGAAACTCTACACGGTCTGTGACATAGCCTTAGGCCTGCTACTTACACGGTGCTCAAGTATGGTGATCAAAGACTATCCCATTGATGATATCCGTTTGCCCAAGGCACTTTACACAAGGGCGCCAAACGACTTTTGCAATCCAGATTTTGCCTATCTTACCGACTCACCTGAACAGTTAGTTAGTATGGTGACTCGCCTTTGCTCTACTCCAGCCACTGTTGGACGCGACCCTTCTGAGAAAGGTCAGCAAGACCTTAGCAACAATCCCCAAACTGGTGAAGCTTTAGGAAGCTCAGGAAATATTTTAGTTGGCTCAATCTATGGCTTCTCTCTTCCTGGCCGGCCTTTGATACAATTTACTCCCACTAAGAACTCCAAGGCTATCCTCGAGAAACTAATTCCGCTAGAGCTAGTCAAACAGAAGGCAATCTCTGAAGCCAAGTAAGGCCTTATGTGAATTACTTTATATAATCATTAATCAATCCCTATAATATATAGATCTTTATTTTGATTATCTTTGTTAATTTATTTCTATTAATTTATTTTGCATCTGCTAATGCCACCATTATTCATAATATTTTATTGCAAAATGCTTACCTATCTTAAGATCTTTAGGGCTGAGTCGTCTGATTTGGTCTCTTTTTATGAAATGTTGTTAGGGGGACTTTCAGTCCGCATAAAAGTGAATAAGAGCAGAGATTCGTTGGTCGATCTCGCCAGATGAGGACGGATGAATCTCGTCGTACTGCAACCGTTTGGCTTTTATATTCATTTTGACGCAGTCAACAAGACTTCCTCCCTCGTTTCCAGTGAAAACGTGCTGAGCTTTCGTCCATTATATGATGGACATCATCAGAGTTGGGTTTCATTCTTGTAAAAGTCTCACGTTAACACTAGGCCAAGAACACTATTCGGATCTATCTTACTTCTTATATAGACTTAATTGAGCCAAATGAAAATTAAAAACTTAGATAGATCGATATATTGTGCTTTGGTTAATTTTCTCAATTAGGGGGACTTTCAGTTAATGTGGGACTCTTACAAGAATGAAATCCAGCTCTGATGATGTCCATCATATTATGGACGTTTTCACCAAAAACGAGGGAGGAAGTCTTGTGGACTGCGTTAAAATCAATATCGTATAAAAGCCAAACAGCTGCAATACAACGAGAATTATCCGTCCTCATCTGGTGAGATCGACCAACGAATCTCTTCTTCATTAACT